CCCTCTCCCCGCCCGTGTAAGCCCCTTTTAAGTTTCTTTCCACCTGAAGTTGCCATTTTATTCATTACCTTTGGTTTCCTGGTTCTTTAGTTGTCAAAGAACAGGAGTTACTTGACCTCTGTTTGTTTGTTTCTATAGTCAGACAATTTATTTTGCTGAATTTAGAATCAAGTTCAGCTGGACCTCTAGTTTTGCACCACCTGGATTTTCCGATAGTTTTTATTTCTCATGATCTAGTTCATGATCCTCTGGATTTCTTATTTGGTAGTTGTACCTAGAGGCTTAATCAGATTCAGGTTTGATTTTTTTCCCAGGGTGTCATGATTACTTCCTAGTTATTCCATGTAACTCTGTGTGGGGCTCCTGCATCGGAAGGCACAGTGTCTGTGTTGCCTCTCTTTGTGGGATGCCATCAGCTGCAGGTCTCTGCCTGGACATGCACTCGGTGTGGGTTCCAGAATGGTGATGCTTTCTCATTGATTCTTCCTTTACTGACTGGAGAACTTCTACGAAGAGTAGAAACTTTCTCGTCATCGGCCGTCTCTCTTCCCAGGCCTACGGGCCGAGCGGCAGAGGCAGGCTAGGTGCTCGCCCCTTGGCTTTCAGGAGAGAAGGCTCGCAGGTCCGGGCTTTCTTTCCACAGCTCTCACGTGTCCGCTTGCACCTGCACCCTGGGGGTCACACCCACTTCAGCCCAGCGCTGCAAGGGGGGAAGGAGATACTGAAGCACCCTGGGGGTCCCACCTGCTTCAGCCCAGCGCTGCAAGGGGGGAAGGAGATACTGAAGCACCCTGGGGGTCCCACCTGCTTCAGCCCAGCGCTGCAGGGGGGGAAGGAGACACTGAGGCCGCTTGCTCCGATTCCTTCCAGGGCCTGAGTAAGAAGACGGGGATCTCCTCGAGCCATCTCCAAGCCCTGTGGATCGGCTACAGCACGGAGGGGCTGTCTGCTGCCCTCGCCTCGCTCAGGAACCTCTACACGCCCAATGTGAAGGTGAGCAAGCCCTGTACCCTGTGCCCGTGCCCAGGCCTATGCCTGCTGCCCTTTCCCCAACAGTCCTGCCCTCCCTCTCCCTGGGCTGTGGCCAGAGGCCATGGAGGAGCTTCTGATGATGCTCTTCTCTGAAGTCAAAGTCGGTCCCTTTCTCTTCTACCTGCTGGGCCAGCTTTCCCGGGGCAGGAAGCCGTGGGGGGCAGGACTGCGCTGTGGGCCTGTGGTGAAGGTTTCAGAGGGATGTGATAAGGAAGCAATTCACACAGAAAACCGAAGGTCAGAGGGAGAGTCCAGGGAAGAGTGATTGTTAAAATGCCCTGAGTTTCTAATCTGGACTACCTCTTTATGGCTCATAGGAAATTGCACGTTGGGGAGAGACACAAAGTGATAGGGACACAGAGGAAACTGCTGCCTAGGTTTCGT